AGTAAACAAAATAATCAGTGTATGTAGCAAGTGATTAAATACACTTCACCAAAGTTTTTATTAAGAACACCATTAAATTTCATTCGTTTCAGAATAGGAACGTTAACAAACGCAGAGTATAAGTACAATAAAACAAACCCACCTTTCTAGAAAAATTATAAAATTTAATTGTGCGAATTTTATTTTTTTTTTTTTAGAAGCATAAGTTAAAACAAATGTATGTAACGTTAAAATAAATCAGTATTATTGTATTTCCAAATTTTCGGGAAAATGGAGTGAGCCGTTCCCGATTTCAGTAAAATAAATCTACTCAATCATTAATTTTATATTTTTTACAATTTTATAAGAAATTAAAAATTTTAATGTAATAATAAACCACAAGTACATTTATCATAGTTTCCATATTTTGAATAGGATTTATTCGCCGAAATTTTGAGATGACGTCATCAATTTTTTGAGGAGGGCAAATAGATATATTTTGATTAAAAATTTACCACACCTACGATAAGTTTAAAACGTCTGCAAGTTTTCAAAGCATTTGGTTGTGCAGTTCCTGATTTAATCAGGAAAATAAATTGACTCTATTATTAATTTTTTGAGTCACCCTGTATAAGTAATTGTAAAAACTATGAATACGTTGATAAGTATGCAGTCATTATATTTTGCGATTATATCAGAGAGGATTTATTGGGATAACGTTATCAATTTTTAGGGAGGGGATAAATGAATAACGATTTACCATGATTACGATAACCTTAACATATCTACAAGATTTCAGAGCATTCAAAGTAAAATTGCAAAATTTGTTACACATTTTTTTTTCTAAAAACCTGTATGTCTAGGCTGAAAATTCGACATGGATTTACACACACAAGTGCAGGATTATTTTATTTTGTAAAACTAAAAAAGTTATATGTTTACGATGTTGTGATATATACGTTATATTAACGTTTGAAATAAAACGTAACTGATACATTAAAATGTAGAGAATCTAGCGATATACTAATGCAACGTTATGATGATGTACCAGCAAGCACGTCTGTAGTCTGAAACAATGTGGATGTCCCCAGTATGTCACAGTAGTATATAGTCAGCATATATCAAAATTCGTACCATGTTGATTACAGTACACGGTAGAGGGAACGCAGATACGCGCAGTATGTGATGCAACGTGGGACAAGTTTGTAGACACAGTTAACTTGTATTTGTAACTTAATTCTTTTTACTGGGTTAGATCAATTTATTTGTTGTACCCTCAGTTGTGACATTTTCTCCAGAGTGTTCAAGTTCAGTGGATATTAATGCAAAGCTTGTTATGGAGTGTACATCACTTTTTCTACAATTTAAATTGTCGACATCAATTTTTCATGTTATTCCTATTAATTTTTTAGAATTCTGACTATTTTAGTGTTTTTCTTTTCCCGGACCATTTTCTTGTCGATAGTATTATAACTATTTAGAGGACTGGTTTTGTAAGACATAATTAACTCTGAATATTAATCAAATGGTTGTATATTGAGAAGCTATAAAACATAAGTTATAAATCCAGGACAACAATGCTTTGTAAATTATTGTACAATACCGTTACAAAAGTGTCTCGTTTCATTGTTCTTCTGTTATTTGCCATATTTCATTTTACAAATAAAACCCACATTTTCGAGCAATTCCTTGATGGAAATAACATACCAACTGCGTAGGTTTTGGAAATAATGGTATCGGCATAATCACTCACTACAATAATAATTGCGTACTGTCATTGTTAAATTATACGCATGTCCCCCGGCGAACAGAAAGTATAACATTTTGATATACAAACCTTGGCAAAAGGAAGGATTATACTGACTTTGATTCTTGCAATCTTCAAATTTCAGAATTGATCAATTATTACAGAGTTGCCATTTAAACGTTATTGTTCCTAAGAATGTGAAAAATGTAAACACCGTTTTCACAGTTTTCTAAAAAGATTTCCCTAAAAAAAATGTATACTTTCATGCATAATTCTCAGAAACTTGAACAACTTATTTGCACATTTTGTGTATACATTATTCTTGAATCCTACTAAATAATATCTAATAACTGTGTTCGATATTTTTTTTTTAGAAAAACTCATTCTGAAAATATTTTTTAATCAATTCGAAACTCCGTTTGAGATGATTAATTTTAAAGTGCGGTCACAACGTGTTGAAAATTATTATAATCAATAATACATGATGTCTTTCAAATGAGAAATTTTTGAATAACATACGGTAGTAATATTTTCTACTTCGCGTTTATAACCGAGCTATCAAAGTACACAGATTGAGTGCTTTATTAGAACTGGTGTAATTTATATTTTTAAGACTGGTAGTAAAATAAAAGTCAAAAGCAGGAATAGTATTTTATCTACTAATGTTAATGGTATTTCTAATTATAAATAAATTTTGAAATAAAAGGTACAGTTTTTCCGCTCATTAATTGTTATATTGAATGTGTGTTGAAGAATTAGATTAATGTAAGATGATTGTCATAATTTTGCTGAAGATTACTTTCACCGGCAACAATTTTACTGCGTGATTCATCTAAAGCATCTGTGGAGTTCTGGAACATCAGGACAAGTTAGATTTAGATACTGCGGAACGCAAACATATCAGGTGCTACCATAGAAATAATATTGTATCCTTTATTAGATCAATGGGTGCTACTTTGAATAATTTCCCAAATTTCGAAGGGCGTAAGATTGCCTTCAGCTTCACACATTGTTAAAACGATTTACAGTATTATTGTGAAAATTCAAACTTCCAATGTTACGATTTGATATTTGTCGTACCAACCATGACAAAAATTGGTTTAAAGTTATTTGGACAGAACTTCTCTCGCTCCTGCAATACATGCAAACAAATACAGATTCCCAGAGAAATTATAAAATCAAATTTTGGGAATTTTATGTGTTTCTTTTTTATGATAAAAAGATTAAAAAAAATCCCTGCACCAAACTTTTGAAAATATTAAACTTCGAATTTGAAGACTTAACTTCGTAATTTTGACTTATTTAAATGAACTGAATGTCTAATAGACAGTTAAATAATTAGTTATTAATAATTTAATAATAAATAATCTGCTAAAATACTATCCTAAACGTCATTTTTTGCTGTTCCAAATGTCATTTTTATTTATTGTTATTGTTTATGTTAATATTTATCGAAATTGTAGACCGTCAACTAATAAGTGTATTGAATTTTATTAACGTCATCATGGCGGACGACAGTGGGTCGCTTGATGTGTGAAAATCAATTTGGAAGTAAACAATGATAAAATTTTAAAGTGTAGTGGTGCATGTAATTTTATGTGCCATATGGAATGTTCGAGATTATAAAAAATCTGAACGTAATATTCTAGACAACGAGAACTTTTTCTGGTTTTGTGATGATTGTAATGTAGTTGGATTGAACATAAATAGCTTGCTTCTTTCTCTGAAGAATGCTGTCATCAGCTGCCAAAGTTTGATTTTATAACAGAAGATGGTTTTTGATCAACAATCAGTGAACATCAAGAGCGTTACAAGAGAGGTTGATCTTTTTAAACGTAGCATCTCAGTCAAAGATAAAATATTTTTTGTAAGTTTATCTCCATCGAGTAAACTGTACTCAAAAGCCCAATTAATGAAAGGAGCCTGAAATAGTCAGTAATTTCAAAAATAAAAAATCATCTAAAAATCAGATAACGAAAAAATTCCTGATAAAAAGATTCCTCCTCTTGTGGAAGAAGTAAATAACCGTAAACCAAGTTATAACTGATTATTGGGACTCACAAAAATATTGAAACATCTGATTCTATTATTGATGAAGAAAATTTTCTTTCTGTTAAGAGAGTAAAAAAATGTTATATACACATTACGAGGGTTAGTCCAACTGTTGATATTGAAAAGATTCGAAATTATATCACAATTAATTTGAGAAATAATGATACTTGAAAAATTATCTTCTAGACATCCCAGCTATGTTTTTTTTTAACTCTCTATTGAGTTAACTGCTAAGAGGGTACTACTGAATCCATCTTTTTGGCCGGATGGTGTGGCAGTCAGGAATTTTATCAACGGCGTCTTAGAATCAAAAGCAAATTTTACAATACAGCACAACGAATCAACCAGTAATGACTTAGTTGTGATATATCAGAATGTAAAGGGTTTAAGAATAAAAATTCGTGATATCTCGAGTAATGTTTTGTGTGAAAATTTTCCTGTGTATAAATTGACGGAAACGTGGTTAACTAAAAACATAAACAGCTCCGAAATATTTTATAATCGCTATATTGTGTGCAGGAGAGATAGATCTCTTAAGGAGACGAATAAAAGCAGAGGAGGTGGAATGCTGGAGTGTTTGTTAATTGCTGTAAAATAAAATCATATCAGCTTGATGTTAATCTTGTGAATCGGGAAGAAGTTTGCATAAGTATTACTATAAATAGTGTCAATATTATACTTGGATCTGTTTATTTTGCTCCGGGTACATCACTTGAAGTTTATAAAGGTCATGTTGATTTGATTGAATCCTTAGTAGCAGAATATCCGGATCATTTATTTTGTATGTATATTAGGTGATTTTAATTTGTCAAACTAGTTTGGAGAAATGTTGAAGATTGTGATTATTTAGTGCCTGTTAATGTAATATCTGCGATCAAGGAAACTGTCTGTGATAATTTACCTTTAAACAATATATTTCAATACAATTATGTTTTAATTAGTTTTAATTCTGTTTTAGACCTACTGTTTTGTAATTCTAGATTAATGTTGTCTAGAGGCTTTCCACTTGTACCTATCGACGTGTAACACCCTGTGCTATGTGTAACATGTACAGATGCAGGGTGTTATTGAAAGGTACGTACAACAAAATGGTTTTATTTAAAAATTGTTTAAACTATATCTTCCTGTTTGGTAATTGGTTACCATAAACCGTCAATAAATGATATTATTATTATTATTTATTGAACACATGTATGTGAAAACGTAAAGCATTGAGACTTACCATAATATTCAGTAGTTTCGTCAATCCGTACTTGCTTCCGACGTATTTTGCACCACGTCATGAGAAATACATAAGTCAAAAAGTAGTGGAGATCAAAACATATATAAAAAATAAGAAGAATAACCACTAAAATTAATCCATAAAATAACGCAGCATCCACATCGACACTTACGCTGATTATCATTTTAGATGACTTTAGAGCGTGGCGTTATCTATCACTCACCTACAGTGGCTCTACATAATGGAGAGGGCGTATATGAAAATCAATGGATGGTTTAGTGGGGAAACAGTCATAATTAATTTATAGACTGATTTTAGAGTTAAAATTAATTTCTAGGACGAAAATCGCGTTTTAAGGCACAGTCAAAAGTAGGTATTTAATAATACTTAAATATAAGTGTCCTATTTTATTAATAATAAAACATCAATGAGATTTGTGTCTAAATAGTGGGAGCATTGTGTTGGTTGTCAGTTCTACCAAAAATTTAGTTTTATTGTACTACACCGTAAAAGAAGTATTACAAATTCAATGGGTAGACTTCTCGACTTGGTGTTTAGTAATAAATTTCCCTCAGTTTGCAAAGCTAGTGAAATAATCTTACCGGAAGACAAATATCACCCTGCGTTAGAAATTGGAATTAATAATAATAAATAATAATAATAATAATAAATGGTTTATTGCACCCCACGGGGTTAACCCCACAACGGAGCACAGAATACAGAATAAAAATATAAATATACTACTACAAGTAAGAACATCTATCACGGTATACAATTCAATATATATATATATAAAGCGAACAATATTTATAGCTATATATTAAATTCAAATCTTTTTATGCCTCTTAGGTTACAGTTGAACACATCCATCGACAAGTGAATTTCGTTGACTGTGTTGGAAATATTATACAGAGGGGAAAACTTCAAAATATTTGTTCTTGGAATCTTCAAATGTATCAAATGTGGATGTCTGACGTTAACTCTTGAACAGTAAAAATTGATCATTTCAAGTAGGGTTGCGTCATCAATCACGTTGCTGATAAGTTTCACAAAGAATATAACATATGTTAGTTTGATCCTTGCAGAAAGACTCTTGGTGGAAGAATTCGAGAGAAGTTGTTCTTGAGAGTATCCTCTTTGTGAATACACACCATAAGTTTTGAAATGAAGAAATTTAAAAAAACGCCGTTGAACATGTTCCAAGTCATTTAGCACTTCTAATGAGGAAACCAAACTATCGCAGCATATTCGAGTTTGTTTCTTACTAAAGAGGTAAACAGAAGTTTTATTAATTCAGCATTCCGTATTGCATTAGAATTTCTTATTGTATAACCTAGTCTTTTAATTACATCTGTGGTGATCATCTTAACATGGTCTGCAAAAGATAACTTAGTATCAAAATTTACTCCCAGATCTTTCACACACGACTGCCTTATTAATATATGATTACCCAATTTATAAGAATAATTAAATATTTGACTAGATAACTTAAATGACAATAAATAACACTTCTCGTAGTTGAAACTAAGAAAGTTATCATTACACCATGAATGTAAAACATCTAAATCGCGCTGTAATTTCAAGCAGATCTCTAGACTTGTTATACGCCTATATATTTTTAGGTCATCTGCATATAACAGGGTATGTGAATGAAGACCATTTGCCCTGGTATTAATAAAAATAGTGAACAGGAACGGACCAACAACGGATCCCTGTAGTACCCCTGAAATAGCTTCAAATTTGGATGAACAAAATCTACAACATTCGACAAAAGAAGATCTGCCACGTAGGTAGCTCCAAAAAAATGCACATAATTCTACTGAAAAACCAAACTCAGCAAGTTTCTGAATTAAAGTAGTATGGTCTAGTCGGTCAAACGCTTTGGAAAAATCAGCATAGATAACGCCAGTTTGAATACCAATCTAAATTATTAGCTAGATGTTACGTAATAGTCAACAAGTTCGTAATTGTGGACCGTCCTCGAACAAATCCATGTTGATTTCGAACTATATAAGATTTTTACACTGATAATATAAATTGTCAACTAAAATCATCTCAAAAACTTTGACGAAGTTATTCAAAATGGAAATTGGTCGATAATTCTCAACAGCTGCACGATTACCGCCTTTGAATAAGGGAACGATTAAAGTCACTAGATCTATCTAGTGACTTTAGGAACGATCTTGGATATCTTCCATCTATCGGGGAACTTACGAGAAACTAGGACTAAATTAAAAAGAAATGTTAACGGTTTGGCGAATATGGCGACACAATCTTTTATAACAAATGCTGGAATAGAATCAGGTCCATTTGTAAACTTGGGTTTTAAATTCTTTAATTTATCGAACACTAGATTCTCAGGAATAGAACTGCCATTGAAATTATTAAAAGACGTAGGCAGTGTGGCATCGGGGAATTCATTATTGCCTGACACTAAAAATACACAGCTGAAATATTTAACAAAAGAATTAACTATATCGTCACCACTCTCAATCAACTCATCTTGGAATGTCATATTAGACGAAATACCCAAACTTTTCTGTTTTAAATTAACGAATCTCCAAAACTGTTTTGGATCAGACGAAATATTTGCCTCAGCAGAAGATACAAACTGCCTATAGGGAATTTCTATCTCATGCTTCACGACTCTCCTTAGGCGTACAAATTCATCACGAAAAAATTGCTGACTTGATTTTCTCGCTTTTTTCCAGACAGCTCTCTTTCTTTTGATTAACGTAATAATCTTAGGAGAAAACCACACAGGGTACGACGAACGAGAGCGAGTATATTTAGGCACAAATCTGGCAAGGATAGAGTATATACAATCATAAAAGGCTTTACACGCAGAATTAATATCGTTATGTTGAAACAAAAATTCCCACTTAATTTGTAAAAATGCATTATATAGATCAGAAAAATTTGCCTTGCGAAAATTAAAGCGTTCTTCAACATCAGGAACCAACATCTTGGGCTGTGTGACCTTCACAAAACTAATTATCCAAGTGAGAGCAGGATGGTATACGTCCTCGGGCACTAGAGGATTTGTTACACGAGAGATAGTAAGATATGAATTACATATAACAAGGTCAAGAGAAGATTTAAATTAGTTTTGAAAGATCAAAAACTATAAAATCCTGCGCCACAAACCTAAAAGAGTTTAATTTTAAAAAGGCCAATTTTGTCGGTCTTTATGCTGCTTTATTGAAGGTAGATTGGGACTTTTTAAATACGGTTTTGGACAGCAATGACATGGTCAATGTCTTCTACGACCAACTGATGATAACACTAGTTTACAAGGTTTTATATCCAAAGACAAAAATAGTTGAATCCAAAGGATTTGGGTTCGCGAAATTCAAATCTGAAAGCAGAAAAAATCCATCACGTCAGGTTTTTGAGATATTTATATAAACATACCCCGTATTTATTTTGTAACTTTTTTATTTTTAAATATATGTATATGAACATATAGTTCTTTGAGCAAGTTTGTGTCATTTTAAAAGATCATTTACGTAAATAAATAACATGAGTGTCAATTTTTCAAGCTACTAGATTGTCATCAATGTTTTATTTAAAATTTTTCAAGTATTGATTTTAGAATAATTGGTTGCTTTTGATTTTTCTACAGGAAGTGATAATAAAAATGTGAGGTTGGCTTCACAAAGATCTTTTAAAATGATATAAATTTGCTCAAAGAAATACAGGTTTATCTTTAAGAATAAAGAAGTTACAGGGGTTGTATCAAATAAAAGCAACACTCAGTATATATTATAAACATTCTGACTGAAAATTAAAAATGATTAACACTAGTGTTTTTTTTCCTTGACAGTACTGTCAGTTTCCCTTATAATAGACCAACAGTAACACATTTTCGTCCCAAAATCCTTGATACCTTCTTTTTAAGCATATTTGAACAGGTCTTCCCGCTTTAGGTACTATAATTTTACCACAAACGTAACAAAACTGATTTGCACTTAATTTGCACGATCTCCAAGACATTTTTTATGCGACAATGGTGCATTAACGTGAATCAGTTTAACACTAACGTGAAGGTAAAAGCAAATTTCATTATTTTGGATTTATGAAAAAACCTGACGTGATAAGGATTATCCGTTTTTGGATTTGTTATCAGTAAGTAATTTAGAAGTAACATTTTTTTTTTATTTTTGGATATGAAAAAAAGTTTAAATTTGTAAACTAGTGTAATTTTTGCACAACATATTCCCTATAAAAATAACTCTATGGGAGCTTTTCCTAAATGGTACAATAAAAACATCATTTTGCGTCTTAAACAAAAGTATAAATTGTGGAAAAAGTATAAAGCCACTGGTAACGAATTACCTACTAGTAATTAAGGATAATATAAAAACGAATTCAAAAAAGCTGTTTTCATATATGAACAAAATCTGCCAGTCTGGTGGTTTACCAAGTGTTATGAGTTATGGGTCCTCTAGTTTAGATAGCCTTCAGAAGATAGCTAACGGTTTTGCGAAGTATTTCTCGAGTTTTTTCTCTGGTCCCCTTTGTAGTGACTACCCTGATATGAATCTTGACTCATTGGATGTGTTATCGATATTCAGTATTACACAGGTTGAAGTATTACAGGCTCTAAATAACATAAAAACTACCATGGTAGCTGGCCTAGACTTAATTCCTGTTTTTCTAATATCTGATTGTAAGCATATTTTTCTAGGACCATATTAAGGGTGGCGTCTGGTTCGGTTTCGCCCAATACTAAATACATTGAAAACATCGTCGTAGTTTTCGGAACTGCATTTTTAAAATACTGAAATCTCCAACCAAGTCAGAATCTAAGTAAACCTGCATTCTGCTACCGCATCACAGCTCGTTTAATGCCGATTTCTCGTTTCAATAGATTTTGACTTTTCGCGAGTTATTTAGCTCAGTCGTGGATTTTTTAATATTATAAATGGTATCAAAAGAAAGCTGACACTTTTCCCCAGGGGACCTCCTATCTCAGAATGCAAAAAACTTCAGCACTTCGTCAAAAAATGCATCAATGTGCCGGTTAAAATGTGATGTAAAAGTTGTTCAACTTTATTATTTTTTTTTTTTGTAAAAACTGCATACTAGATATGAATATAAATATGGAGGTCCCCTGGACTGAAGTTTGTTAATTCGAAATATAATTTTTTTAAAGCGATATATCTCATATTTTTAAAATGCAACTCCGGAAACCGCGACGATGTTTTCAATGTATTTAGTATAGGGCTAAACCGAACCAGACGCCAGCCTTAACATCAATTTTCAATAAAATAATTAGTTGTTGGGTTTTTTCTGACAGCTGGAAGACGTCACGTGTTTGCCCCATATTTAAGAAAGGGAATTAATCTGAAGTTGAAAACTACAGACTGATTGCTATCATTAACAATTTCTGCAAGGTCTTTAAGTTAATACTCCATAAAAGAATATATAATCACATAGCTAGTATGATATCCACCCACCAACACGGATTTATGGCTGTTAGGTGCACTGTTACAAACTTAGTTTCTTTGACTCAACATCTTTGTGAGAATTTTAACAGGTCGAGTCAGGTGGACGTGGTCTACACGGATTTTTCGAAAGCGTTTGACCGAATCGATCACCAAATATTGTTATCTAAAATGAAGTCGTATGGATTTCCAAATGGTGTGACGAATCTTTTTAAAGCATACTTAAAGGATATGTATCAATACGTACAATGTCATGGATATAGATCTCATAATTTTGAACAGTCTTCTGGTGTTCCTCAAGGATCTGTTTTGCTTTTTGTATTGTTTGTCAATGATATTGTGTGTGCTTTGAATGTCAACTACTTATTGTTTGTAGACGACCTAAAATTGTTTTTGAAAATTGATAGCATTGAGGACTGTGTTACACTGCAAAATAAAATCTTAAAAACTAACGAATGGTGTACTCTTAATAATCTACCGCTAAATTTAAAGAAATGCTATTCGATGTCATTTACAAAGAAAAAAATCATGCAATTGAGAAAGTGCAACGTTGTTTTGCTAAATCTGCATTATTCTTGATGGACGGTGTTTATCCACCTCGAGGTTACCCAGAAGATTTACTTCTTAAACGTATAAACCTCCCATTTCTGTCTTGCAGACAATCGTATTTTTCTGTAATATTCTTATTTAAATTAATTCACTATCTAAGCGATAGTCCATACTTCTACCACCGTGGTCCAGACCTACTAAATAATACTCCTATAAACTTTGTAGTTCCAGCATTTAATAAAAGGCCTCATAATATTTTCTTTAAATAAAATTTCAAAACGAACATTCTATCAAACTCTCATATCTATCGAATTATTACAAATTACGAAAATATTGAACACGCTGTAGATATTTTTAGATTAAATTCCTTCAATAAGATTCCTGAACACTTCTTGCTCCGTTAGTTACATTGAATTCTTTCACCAATTTTCTTGTTTATTAATATTCATTACTTCTAACCTGCCCTGTAAATGGAATTTTCTCCGTTGGGCAAATTAATTAAATAATAATAATGATAATAATAAAGAAATTTACAACTACATATTTTCTATTTTCACTTTTCATACATATGCCTTGATAGCACGAAATTTTCAAATCATCCGAAAACAAAAAACTTAACAAAATCTTCACAGACAGTTGATGATCGTTGATGTAACTTACAAGCAGAAATTTCTGTGCAGCTCTGGAAGCATGAAGACTTTTATAACTATAGAACGTTTTAATATAAATAAACAAATAAACAAATAAATAAATAAATAAATAAATAAATAAATAAATAAATAAATAAATAAATAAATAAATAAATAAATAAATAAATAAATAAATAAATAACTAAATCCTTTATTGTCCAACAGGATAACCTAAAAAAGGACAACAATAATTAAGAAGGAAGAACAGAAAACTTAATACATATTTCAGTAAGAGAAACTACAATGAGTACAAAAACAAAACAAAAATTGACCATAGTAAGAAATCAGAACAAAAATACAATTAACTGTGACTCATAATAATATGTTTTCTACTATAAGTTTATTAAAACAATGACACATATTTAGTTATTGATGGAGAGTGGAGGAGAGCGTTAGTTCTTAATGACGAAATGTAGAAAGTGTTGACACGTCTTAACAATCTTGGCACATTAAACCGATGGTTGATAGAATGTAGGAGCAATCGACTTTGTTGGTGATTAATTTCACTAAAAAGTTCCTTGTAGCAAGAGACTTCATATTGTGTCGGACTAGCAAAATATCCATAGGGATTCCTCTTGCTGGGTAAATCCATCGAGTTTATAAGACAGATATATATATTTTAGAAATTTTCGGTGAATTTTGTATAGGACCATATATTGCGTCATGAAAAGTGGGTACCATACCAAGGAAGTATCAGTACTGCTAAACTATTTGGAGATCCTAATACTAAATCTCAGCACTTTGTTAGCAGCGTTACTGGTTTTTTGGAAGTGAAGATTAACCGTAAGCTTAGAATCAAAAATGAGTCCGAAGTCTTTAATGTTATTTTTCCTCATTACCGGCGTTATATTCTATGCCGGCGTTGAACCAATAGAGGACGACGAATCAATGCGATTACTATTACGTATGAAAGAGATAAGATAGGATTTCTCTAGATTTGAGGTGAGATGGTTACAATGGCTCCAATTCATTAAAGTACTGCTGAAGTAAGTAGATGCACAATATTTCTTGTTTTCACCCAATTTTGCTTATGATAATTTTTAACCCAATATTACGGTTAATATCAGATGAAAACCACGGTGGAAATTTAGAAGAACGAGGTGTTACTTTTGGAACAGTTGAATCAAGTACCTACTACTATTTGTAATAGCAATCAAAAGCCAGATTGATATTGTTAAAATGTTCCAGGAATGTCCATTCAAGGCTAAGTAGTTTTTTATAATATAATTGGAAAATTAGCACGTCGAAAATCATATCTTTTGTTTTTTTGATATCAAAAAACGGGAAGCTAAACTGGGAACTGTGGTGAATTTTAAGTTTAAAAGAAGCTGACGTTGATGTTTATCTGCATGAACCAGTCAGGGATAACACATTCAATTAAAACATTAACGTCAAAGTTGACAAAAACAAGATCCAACAGGATCTATTTAATACATTATTCATTTGCTTAAGTTCAACAGAATGGCAGAATTGTTTGAGAGATGAAGACTTAGAGCAACCGATAGTTGTAGTAGAAATTGAAGGACTAAATTCTGGTACATTAAAATCACCCAGCAACATATATAATTTGTTTATTCAGTGCTAAAATTCTAGGTCGGTAGAGTTAATATTTGGAGGCATGTAAACTATCGCAAGACGAAAATCAACTGTATTTATAATAACATCACAACATGGTTATATTAAATAGAGGTAATAAACCTGAAAGACCCTTAGTATCAACTACTTTGAATTGGTAAGAATCAGAAAAAGCAATTAGAACTCCACCTCCTGTGCTTTTATTAACTAGAGAAAACTTTCAGTCGCAACAGACAATACTATAATTTGCGAGAAATAATTCGGAATTGAAAACAGAGTCATTTAGATAATTTTCGATCAATGCAATAATATCAAATGAATTGTGATAACAACTGGTATAGAAATCATTCGTTTTGGAATTTAGTCCATGAACATTTTGGTAGAATGTAGTGAAACGATTTGTTAATTTACTGGACTTATTTAGTTTAAAGAGGAAACAATCGTGGGAATACCACTACGATATATAATTTTTAACTCTTTATGACTATCATTACGCTATTTAAGTTCGTTTTTCATTGATTTGAATATTTTAATTTGCATTGGGGTACGAAACATGTTGACTTGATCAAATTTGTCTACAGATTTAACTTTTTTGAAGTTTTTTTATGGCGGTGAGTACGTCGTTAGTGGAACTGAGATGAATATGAATAGGTCTGCACTAAGATGCGTTTGAAGAGTCAAATTTGTCAATACATACGTGGATACATGTCCATTATTAACTAACTGGGACATAAAAGATCATTGACATATACAGTATCAGCATTAATCTGGTCGTCTTGTTTGGATGAACGGATTCACTTCTATGATGTTTAATAGTATATTAAAGAACGAGTTTCATAAGGCAAATATTGAGGCACGAATCCAAGTTTATAGAACGAGCGGCGAAGCCGCGAGTTATTTAAAGGATGAGTGCCTCAATGGCCTTATGAACGAGTTATTTATACTATTGTTTCTACCGCACACGTTTTTTCCCAAAATTTAATTGAAATTTGCATTTTTTTAATCTGGGGACTTTTGTCGTGGGTGGTGATGGGTCGGTCTGACACTAACCACGAAATATTTGAGGTTCGAATTTTCACAACAACAATTGTAATTCGAACCAATTCGAGTTTTTGTAATTTAAAATTGGTTACAATGTCTTGCGAAGAAGTTACGCGTCCGGAAACATGGGAAATTTTAAGTTTAGATTTGCCACTGACATTCACCTGACATTTCTCGTCATTGCTACCAATCTTACCGATCTAAATTACACCAGATCTATTAAAGAACGCCTTTCCGCTATTAACGAACTGCTGTGACGTCATTTGCGTGCGTTAATAGCTCTATTAGAAAATTTCTAATAGAGCTATTAACGCTAAACTTAAAATTTCCCACATTTCCGAACGCGTAACTTCTTCGCAAGACATTTTAACCAATTTTAAATTACGAAAACTCGAATTGATTCGAATTACAATTGTTGTTGTGAAAATTCGAACCTCAAATATTTCGTGGTTAGCGTCAGACCACAGCATATCATCATATGCTGTGGTCAGACCAACCCATCACCAACCACGACAAAAATCCCCAGATTGAAAAAAGTGCAAATTTTAATTAAATTTTGGGAAAAAACGTCTGCGGTAGAAAAAATAGAATAAATAACTCGTTCATAAGGCCATTGAGGCACTCATCCTTTATATAACTCGCGGCTTCGCCGCTCGTTCTATAAACTTGGATTCGTGCCTCAATATTTGCCTTATGAAACTCGTTCTTTAATATACTAATTGTTCCACTGTACTGAAAAGGACGTCATGTCTAAAAACCCGTAGATCAATTTTTATTGTATGTCCTGTATAGTTGGTTGCATAAAGAACATATTCACTAAATAGATATAGGTGATTTCTGGTTGCATACAAACTTACAAACGTTCACAATAGCATTCACCGTTAGAAAACATAAAAACAGAAAACACACACGGTAGAAAGTTATGTTATAAGTTATAGGTGCAAATGATCAATGTTTGTATATGCCGTTAATCAGTGTATGAACTGTGTAATCCGCAGATTTCTTCCCGAAGTATTTGTTTTAAAATTTCGACCTTCAGTCACCGTTAGTGTTATGGAATTAAACGGCGACTATGAATTAACTTCGTAATATTTTTGAGGTTAAATGGTAGATATGTTTTAATATTTTTTAATTATTTTGTAGGGGAGAAGTGAATACGATCTTTACAGTGTTCAAACGTATTCAACAAGCAAAATCCCAAGCAGAATCTCTGACCAAGGAACTTACATGTATTAGTGCTGAAATTGAGAAAATCCAAAATTGGCCCATGTTTAGACGTTGCCATCTGTAAGTTTTGTTGTATATTTTTAAGTAAGAAACTAATATAATGTTTTTATAGAAATAATATTCATACACTTAGTGCCGGTAGAAATATCAGTAAATGCATACAGGCAATAATGTATATTATATTTCTTTCGTAGAAACCAATGGTCCAGCACCTAAACGAGCGAAATATGATTTTCCTCAAGCTGATGATGGATATGTTAAAGTTTACACAGATGGAGCATGTGAAAATAATGGAAAACCAAATGCAAAAGCAGGAATTGGAGTATGGTTTCAAGAAGATCACCCTCTGTACATTTTACAACATTTATGAAATAGTTATTGATTTTGTTTTTTCTAGAAACATCTCTAAACCTGTTGATGGTAAAGCTACTAATAATAATGCAGAAATACAAGCTTGTATCCATGCAGTTCAAGTAGCGAAAGATTGTGGTATGTAATATACAGAGTGGCACTTTGCATTAAAATATATCTACATTTAATTTTGAACAAAGGATTATTTTAAAATATTGTGTAGTAGACTGGTTTATCTCAGGGAGCTACAAATTCGATAGTTAACCTACTAAACTGTTATGAAGTAAATTTGAATCTTTTGCTTCACATCAAAGTTACAGTAGTATGTCGTTAAAAATAATTTTGCCATATATATAAATAAAACTCTCAAAACTAACGAGCGTTCAATTAAAAACGACGTCAAGCTGGCTTTGTAAATGTGAATTTAGGGCTTAGTGAATGGTTCGTTCACAGTTCCAAAATCAATTTGACATCGTTTTTATTTGAACACTCTGTGTATAATATTGAAATGTTAAAAATTTAAACATTCCATATCAATCATTTAATATTTATTTTGTAGGTATTGATAAAGTAGAAATTATTACTGATTCTCAATTTACCATTAATGCTATGACGAACTGGATTAAAAATTGGAAAAAAAATAACTGGAAATTAGCTGGTGGAAAAGGCGATGTAAAAAATAAGTCAGATTTTAAAAAACTAGATCAGTTATGTCAAGGCTTGCAAATCAGATGGGTTCGAAATTTATTTTTAATTTACCCTGAATTTATGAGGAATTTTAGGTACACGTCAGAGGGCATACGGGGATTAAAGGAAATGAAATGGCTGATGAACTAGCTAGAAAAGGAGCCAGATTGTATAAACCACCTTGTTAGATCTATTTTTTCTTAATAAAATTGTGACATCCCGGCCTTATTTTTGTTTTTACATCCTGAGTGCAAGCTAAGGACGTATTGTAATCGAGTAAAATACAAAAACATAGATCTCTTGTTTCCGTCTGTCTGCCATATGTCCGGATCCCTGTCAATTTCTATTAAACTACAGGACTGATAGTTGTCAAATTTTGTAACATTGTTAGGAATATCGTGTGCATGGTAAAACGCTAACTAAAATTTATCTGATCATCCCCACTGAGTGAACCTGCGAGACACTGACTGTGCATGCGAAGACAAGAGTGAGGTGGGGGTTAAATCGAGCTCAAGTTTTCACCTAATTCAGGTAGGTTATCAGTGTCAAGGCGTTGAAAGACATTCGGTGTAACTGTAGTGCCTATACTTTTGGTGGCCGTGCGTTCCGATAGTCCGGCTACACAATGTAATGGGTACTGTCCACTGTTGTCGGCTTGTCAGAGTCTGATACAATAACTACCTGACCAAAATTTCGTTCTATTAAAGTAGTTTGTAATTTGCTAGTTTAAAACCAATAATGCAGACTACGATTGACGCCTTAAAATCTGATTTGTTAAGTTCCATGAAACAATCAAAAACTCAATTCGAAAAAAATACTTGCAATAAAATCTACAAGTTACACTTCCACAACAGCGGATATTATGAATAATGAGGCTATTAGTACCGAAGTGATGGAGAGACAGTCAGAACTAGCAATGTTATCTATCCTTTTTAATCTTGGAGCTGCTAGCAGTTCTAACACAACATCTCAAAGTGCAGATCTCCAAAATGTGGAAAATCTGTTCAAAGAAATTGGTCTAACTGAACCCGAAAAAATAAGCACTTTCAGATTAGGTAGTTGAGCTAGGATTCCTAGACCAGTTAAGATATATCTTCGTAGCCCTGATGATGATTTAACGGTTTTTAACAATAGCTAAATAAAAAAATGCGAACATAAACGCCGAGATAAGTTTAAAAAATTGGTCGAAAGTTGTTTCAACAGAACTTCCTTCGCTCCTCAAGTACAAATGAAACCTCCAGCATTTTCGCAAAATTATAAAATTTGATTTTGTGAAATACATTTTTTTAAGAGAACCCCTATAAGTTGACATAAATATGCAAATATGTAATGTTAATGTAAATGTAAACAAGCGTGCTACGCATATATTTCAAATGAGTTTTTACTTTAAAAAATTTTCTGATGGCGTTATCAACATTTTTGTAAGGACACGTATATCAGCTTGGATTCGTGCAATGTAATACAGTATAACCGCTATAATCCGAACCCACGATTATCCGAACATCCAGTTATCCGAGCAGAGGCTAGTAGTTGAAATCTACATCTCTTTAATCCGAACAAAAACTGCAATCCGAACTGAACTTGAAAACATGTACCTACTTGCAAAAATGACGCAAGATCTTCTTTATCCACGTGTTGTATTGAATTTTTTGAAATTTTTAAAAATTGCGACATTTTAATGCACTGAATTATTTAACTAATTCTGGAAAAAATGTTGAAGCTATCGAAGAAATGAGGCCGGAAGTGACTTCTGCGGCGCGAAATCTGCAAGAAAAAGTATTTAGTTAAATTTCGAAAATCGTCAAAAATGGGTCGAAATTTGTATGAGGCAGGTAGGACATATATAGTGGAAATAGTTATATTTACATTACAAGTGTCGAAAGTAGCAAATATCGCACGAATGTGAAAAACTCAGCGAGTTCGACATTTTCCACTTTCGCACGAGTTATGTACGCTATTTTTCCCACGACCACGGAACAGCGCATATTTTTACTAAATGCTACTCCATCTGTCCGAAAATATGGTATACATTTTACAAAATTATTATAATTAATGGGTGATGACCAGCAAATTATAATCAAGTAATTTTGTTTGCAACTTGTATAATAATGGAATATCATATAAAAAGTGGACTGAGATCTACGTTCGGTTCTGTTAAAAAAGTGACCAAGAAAATTACTACAATAGCAACAAAATAAATCAACACCCGCTAAATTTAAAAAATAAGAGATTTTAGAAAAAATAATTAAAATAAATAAATTATTTACTATTATAAATAATAATATATTATAAAAATCTAATTTATTTATTTATTTTATTTATTTACTTACTAGCTGACCCCGTGAACTTCGTTTCACCTACAATTTAATTTTGAATCTGCAAAACCGAATGCTTTGAAATCTTGCAGATGTTTTAAACATATGATAAGCATAATAAATTTCTATTCAATAGTAATTTACGCAACTAGTTCGGGATAGCCTGCTTCCCGCATGAACGCTTGTTTGAGGCACGACCGAAGGGAGTGCCGCATTTGCGTGAATGCGGGAAGCAGGCTCACGAACGTGTTGTGTACAATATTTTTTGCGACGAATAAACCTTTAAACTGAAGAGATTAACGGTGAGTTATTTATAAACAACGCCATTGACAGCGCCGTCAACACGTCACAATGTTGACACTACCCGAGTATTTTAAGGTTACCATGGCAACGGAAAGTTAAATGCACGCGTGCGGGAAGTTCGACCTCCCGCACTCTGGTGAATGCGCGAAAGCTATCAAAAAAGGTCATGAGTGCAAAAAATATATTTACTTATCCCCTCCAAAAAATTGATGACGTCAGCCCAAAATTTTGCCAAATGAATCCTCTCTAAAATGTCCAAGATAGGATGAGACTATACTTGTGATTTATCATTCCATTCATAATTTTTGGTTTTGCTTATAGGGGTGTCTCAAAAAAATTAATCACTGAGTCAATTTATTTTATTGATTGAATCAAGAATTCCATACTAAATTTTGAAATATTGCAGACGTTTTGAAGTTACTGTTTGACATGGTAGGTTTTTAATCAAAATACCTATATCTGTTTATCAAGCCCGAGGAGGGTAGAATAAGAACGGAGGGATAATACGGTCGAAAAATGTGGACCGACCGTCCGAAATCTAGACACCGTTTATGACGGTGTTTGGAATACGCGCTCGGCTAAACCACGCCCCCAGTTTCGAGAGAATCGCTAAACAGTGGCGGGCAAAGTTACTCAAGTTATACATTTATTATTTACTTATGAAAACTAAGTCTGTCTTTCACAGATTGTTTACTACCATTCCACGACTTACAAAGTTTGCAGTTCACCATGTTGAATTTATTAAAAACAAAACGGTTCAAAGTATAAAGATACACAGCACGTGATGGAACAAAATAACTGAGATGTACGCCCATGGAGTAGGATGGGCTTTTCTCGAGTTTGTAGCCAGCTCGCACATGCGCACAGTCGACAGACCGATCGTAAACGGTGTTTGCAGTAGTTGATTTTGGGCCAAAACCGTACCATTGAAAGCATACGACATGCTCCCTCCGTTCTTATTCTACCCTCCTCGATCAAGCCCAAAAACTTGATGACGTCATCTCAAAATTTTGCCGAACAAATCCTATCTAAAATGTGCAAAACATCATCAGTATATTTTCGTCATTTATCATTGTATTCATATTTTTTAGATTTGTTTTTACAGTGACTCCAAAAAATGTATGGATCATTCAATTTATTTTAGAGAATAACTCAAGAGTTGAAGAAATGACTTCTTTGAGATCTTGCAGACGTTTTAAAGTTATTGTAAGCATGGTAAATTGTTGAGAATATTTACTTATTCCCCCCAAAAAATTGATGAAACGGCCCACTCGATTTTCGCAGATAATTTTGGGAATACAATACAGTTATTTTTAGTATTACACTGCACCAATCCAAGGTGGTATACGTGTTGATCGTAAATGTTGATTAGGTCATCACAAAATTGTATGAAGAAAAGACTCAACTCGAAAATGCTGAATATGTTTCATTATACATTTGGTGCGAAGGAAGTTCTGTCGAAACAACTTTCGATCAAATTTTTGACAATGGTTGATATAAATAAAACTCAGTGGATGCTCATACTCGAAATACGAAGTATCTACTCGAATATCAAATCAAAATATTTCTAGTTTTTCTAGATGATGCTAATACTTCAGTAGGCAACAGTTGATGCTCAAGTAGTATCTTGATACAAAAAAAACGGAAAACAGTGACAGTGTTCAACCATCAAGGCAAAAATCGAGTCACCAAAATATAAGTTAGTATGTATGGGGTAGACTCCTTGAGTTGGGAATCTCTATGGTCAGTGTTAGAAAGAACGCACTGCACAATTTATGCATAAATAAAAGCTAATTATCTTACGACTTCAGTTTTAATTTATCGGATTTCGTGATTCCTTCACTCGACAATGTTTAAATTTTGGGAAAATTTTCGAAACGATTGAAGTCGGTTGATCAAAGCTATACATTTGCATGATATAAATTAATAAATTTTAAACATAATTAATATCACTTATAATGTTTAAATATGATAAGCATAAATATAATATAATAATTTTTGCAATCTCATCGTGACGTACGATGACGTCACTGTCAGCTGAGCTACCTGTCCGAAGGTCACGTTTCGCGGTCCTTTGTGTTCAGTATTAATTTCTGTTTGATGGCGGCAAGATCGTCGCGTCATTTTGGCGTAAAAGTGGAACGTTTTAGTGAATTTCTAGTTTATTATTAATACATATTACGGAAAATATGTTGTGTTAGTGCTGTGAACACGAACGAAAATGGATATTTTTCCGAAAAAGACGGAAAACAGGGTAAGTACGACTTCAGTTTTAATTTATCGGATTCCGTGATTCGTTCACTCGACTTTGTTTACATTTTGGGGACATTTTCGAAACGATTGAAATCGGTTGATCAAAGTATACATTTTCACGATATAAATAAATAAATTTTAAACATAATTAATATCACTTATAATGTTTAAATATGATAAGCATAAATATATATGATAATTAAACCGAAACTCGTTGTCCTAAAAGCCCGAAATTATTAAAAACAAATCAATTTGTTTAAACATTGTTAAATTATCCCCGAAAATGTGCATTTTCCCGGCCAAAATATGAAAAATAATTTTTGCAGTCTCATGGTGACGTACGATGACGTC